TGTGTGTGTGTGAATGTGCATGCGAATGCGTGAATGCGTGAATGTGTCAATGTATGTGTGTGTTTGTGTGTGGTGTGTGTGATTGTGTGTTCGTGTGTGTGGTGTGTGTGTGTGTGGTGTGTGAGTGTGTGTGTGTTGTGTGCGTGAATGTGTGCGTGCGTGGTCTGGGTGTTTCCTTCCCCCACCCACACACACACCAGAGAGAACAAAACAACGAAACTCTAAAAGGTAACCCCGCCGCGGCCTGCTACTTGTTCTTTTTGGCGGGGGAGCCCCCCAGAAGTTGGGAGGAGTGGGGGGAGGTGGTAGCGTGTGCGTGTGTGTTTGTGTGTGGACGGGATGTTTCCTTCCCCCCCCTCCGCCACCCCCCAAAAAAGAACAATTGAACGTCCACTGCGATTTGTTTGGGAGGGGAGGAAAATACCTCCACACACAACACCACACGCACACGCACACGCACACGCACACACACACACACACACGCACACACACACACACACACAAACACGCACACACACACACACACACACACACACACACGCACACTCTCTTCACATTCACACACACACACACACACGAACAGAACAGAAAGAAGAAGCAAGCAAAGAAGAGCGGGACAGGGCCCAACAGACCGCATACCTCCACGACCCCCTGTCCTCGGATCTCCCTGGCTCGGCGCCCAGGACGCCGCTCGAGGACGACGAAGGCGGGGGCACCGAGGGGGCAAAAGGAGAAGGGGGAGGGGGAGGGAAACCAAGAGAGGGTGAACGTTTTTGTCGGCCGCTGCGCGGAGGCTCGGGCCCTGGATGCTGGAGGCTGGTCAGTTTTTTTTTTTACCTTCCCCAGTTGAGGGGTGCAGGTTCGTAGCGTTTGGAGCGCTGCGGGGAACCCAGCGGCCTCTAGGAGTCCCAGGGGCTCTAGGAGGCACGGCGACATCAGTAGACTCCACTCGCGGTCGTCTGGAGGCTGGTCAGCTTGAGGCCAGCGTGGCTCAGACAAGGCATGGTGCCAAACACCGGACCCCAACTCATTGACTGTGCAGCCTGTGTGGAACGTGAAGCCTGCGCAGCAGGGTATGACCCATCACGTGGGGCGTCGTCGATATAACCGCGCACCGCGAGAGCCTCGAACTGCCACGCACACGCCCCAGGCCCCGCAGATGCACAGAGAGTGAGGGAGGAAATGTGGCGCGAATTATGACTAGGAAGAAGAAGCCTCAGGAGAATGAGGAGGATACACAGGAGGACAACGACGACAAGATAGGAAGCCGCCAAAGGAGGACAAAAAGGAGGATAATGTAAGTGCCTGGGACTTCGAGGAGAATCAGGACGGAGATTCGGCACAACGCTTCCAGTGGAAAAACTTCGTATACACTTCCAATGCCTGATTAGAAAATGACGAGGGGAGAAAAAGCGAGTAAGAGCCTGAGGGTGATGACAACGACGAGGACGAGGAGGAACGTCGGGTAAGACACGGATGCGTCCAATGGAAAATTTCGCATCGACTTGGCGCAAAGCTCCTCTGCAACGACGGCACTGGCCAGCCCTCCTGGCCAACCCCCAGAAGTCTGGCCAACCGTCCCAGCCAAACCCGTCCGGCCGACCTTGGTTAGGATTAGGCCGGGCCTGTCCCCCTACAGGGGGATTGTGGGCGAAAAATTCGAAATCCGCCGACCCTGTCGGCGTGTGTGAGGGGCTTTTCCGTTCGAGACGTCATCCCCGTTGTTCGTTGGTCGTCGTCTCTGTCGTCCCCCTTCCTTGCGCCTCCCTTTCCGTGGGCCCGTCGCCACTCCCGTCCTCTTTCCCAGCAGGGGCCCCTGCTCAAGCGCGCCAGCCCAAATGAACTTCAGCAACGTCGTATTTGAGTCGAAGGGAAGCCCCTTCCCTTTGATCCCTCCCCCGCGGGGAGGGTGGGGGGGTAGCGGGGGGGTCCCGGGGGGGGGTCCTGGGGGGGGGGCGCCACTCAGATACGACGCCCCCCCCGCAAGTACTGCACGTCCTCCAGGGTCGGCGGCACCGGCCGTAAGGCCTTCGCAATATTCGCAAAATGCAGCCAAAATGCTCTAAAGATAATCAAAAACTCGTCCCCATAGTATGTTGTTGACTCTTTTGGGATATCCCTCCTGTAGAGGGACAGGCCCGACTTAAGGTTGGGGCAAAAGACGAAGCAGCGGACAACAAATACAACGGGGGAGGCAAGGCACACCAGCCCATCAGTGACTGATCTTGCGCTCGCTGGGCCCACGCAAGCGATCACAACAGAAGGATGCGGCCATGATGCACCGTCTGTAAAAGCGCTGGAGGGACGGCTGGAGCCGGCCTGCGTAGGCTGCATGTCCAGACTCTGGTGCTACAACATTCACTTGCGATGACAAGCCTTGGTGTAAGGAGCCTCGGGGCACACTCCCTGTTGATGTTCGAGGGCTCCCGCGCTGCCCCAGAACTTCTCGCAGGTCCCTGGTGCCACTGGGAGACAAAAACCTCTGCTGGGCACCTGCCGGCAGGCCGAGCTCTCAGCGGGCGTGCCCTCTGTGGGGTCGGTGAGGACCGCCTGCCCGAGCCCGTCGCCTGCAGCACGCCGCCGCCTCGTGCGGCGCAGCCGGATGGCGCCGCAGCGGGACGGCGCTGCTCGGTCGGATGAGAGCATCCGTCGTGCGAGCAGGTCGCGTGACCTTCCCCCGACCATTCCCCCTGACGAAGCCCTTGCCCCGACCCCTTCCCGAAGGATTGCAAAAAAACGAAGGATTGCAAAAAAACGAAGGATTGGAAAAAAACCTTCAACGAAGGTTTTTCTGCAATCCTTCGTTTTTTTGCAATCCTTCATTGCAATCCTTCGACCACTCCCCCGACGAGGACCCTCCCCCTGGCGAAGCCGCTCCCCCTGGACTTCCCAGGTCTGGCGGCCCAGGCCGCCCCCTCGGAGACGACGGCAGGCGGGGGCGAGGAGGGGCTCGCCAGCCTGCCAGGGGCACACGCCTGTGAAGGGGCCCTGGGACACACAAAGAAATACACACAGATAGAAAGATTCCCCCTAGTTTCCCATATTTCCTGGGTTTTTGTCTTCCCCACCACTTCCCATGTTTTCCCACATTTTCCAGGAAATCGAAAATTAATTGTGTCTGTGTGTTTCTTTCCCTCCTGAGTCTGGAGCAGCCGTGCCAGAGAGCCCGTATCACACCCTCGTAAGCTCGGCGGTGGACAGTGCCCCAGATTTCGCAATCAGAGGGAGGGGGTCTGGACCCTCCAAGACAAGCCATTTCAGACCTCCCCCGTGGGAGAACCCTCCAAAACATCGTCCCCAGACCCCCCAGGCCCTCCAAGATTGCCTGGAAGAGACCCCCCCCCCCCCCGAAATGAGACCCCCCTCCCTTCATTACGAACGGCCACGACGCCCTCTCGCGGACCGAAGACGGCCAATTCGCTCATCGGCGTGTCAGGGCAGGAGGTCTATCAACCTCCGAGGCCTTGGCTCCACTGGACGACTTGCCCACCCAGATTGGGACATGCGCCTGTTCCTTCAGGTTTCGCGAGGCGTGTCCCCACCTGGGGGGCGGGCTGGTGGGAATGAGAGACCATGGCCCAGTGAGGACGGGGATCACTTAGACGGGACTGATCTCAGACCCAGGTCGAATCGGGCAACAACCAAGCCAAAGAGGATGAGGATCGGTTAGACAGTGTTGATCGTAGGCCGGGGCCTGATCCGGCAAAGAAAAAAAACAGGCATCCGACAAGAGAGCCGCGCGCCGTATCTCGCTCGTCAGCTCCTGGACGTCGGCCTGGGAAGGGGGAGCGGGCACGACTCCTCCTGCTGCCTCGAGGGAGGAGTTGGAGCGGACACAGCCACCGTGACGGCAAGCTCGGCAGCGCAGTCGCGAAGCCACCAGGCCAGCCATGCGATGTCTCGACTGCTTCTCCATACGCAAGTCCCCGAGGCGTCCCGACGTTTGGTGTCCGTTCCGTGGGAGCCTGCGTGGCCCCCGGCACTGTCCAATTTGGACCTGATTTGGACCGGATTCGGAACACATTTGGAGCGGATTTGGACCAGACGTGGACTGGATTCGTGGGGGCTAGGAGAACGAGGAGGGGGAGGGGGAACAGGAGGGGAGAGGAGGAGCAGGAGGACGGGCCAAATGTGGCCCCCACGCTGTCCACATGCAGGAAGAGCTGTTTTCAATGTCGCCGCCCAAGGCTCCCATGAACAGACATCGAACCGACGCTCTCCCCACCCCCCGGCGGCTCACCTCGAGCAGTTTTGACGGTCCGGGGGCCGGGCGGGGGCCCCTGGAAGCCGAGAGCATTCGAAAAGCAGCTCTAAGAAACCAAAAAAAACGTCCACCGTGATTTTGTCACGACGCGAGCATGCCTGGGAGGCTACCTCAAACGCCGTGCCCCCGAGTGGGATCGAGGCGTCCAGCCACGTGGAGCGGCCATCCTGCGATGATTCGCACATGTTTACGGGCGTGCGGTTCTCTCCTGTGCGGGTGGACCAGATAGCGGCGGCAGGGCCCCATCCCCTCCTTCGCACTCTTTTCCGCCGCGGCGATGGCGATCGCGCGCCCTGAGATCCTGGCGTCTCAATGTTTCAGACCTGCGCATTTCGCCCAGTTTCGGGCCTCGGGACCCTCACAGATCGATCCGGCTCGAGAAATGGCGCAGTAAGATGGAGTCTAGGGCTCCAGTCGTGATTTTTCACTGTGTTTAGTTTTTCCGCGACGTCGGATCTCAGGGAGGAGGGGAGGGGATGAGGATGGAGGACGAGGAGGAGGAGGAGGAGGAGCAGGGAGCAAGGAGGATGAGGAACGGGGAAGGAGGAGGAGGAAGAATGAGGAGGAGGAGGAGGAGGAGGAGCAGGGAGCAAGGAGGATGAGGAAGGGGGAAGGCGGAGGAGGAAGAATGAGGAGGAGGAGGAGGAGGAGAAGGAGGAGGAGGAGGAGGAGGAGCAGGGAGGAGGGAGCAGGGAGGATGAGGAAGGGGGGGAGGAGGACGATGTTCGCGACGTCGGAACTCGGGGCGGAGGCAGTGGAGGCCTAGGCAGGGGCCGCTGCCCCCCCCTTCACGCCAGAGCAGCTGCACTGCAGGCGCAGGCTCTCTGGCCAGGGCCGACCTCCCCCCGAAAGAGGCACCTGCAGGGCCACGCCTCGGGACGAGAAGGTCGGGGTTAGGAGGCAACTACTGTCGGGGAGACGTAAGACCCGGGTACGGGGGACTCGGAAATCCCCGACGAGGTCGTCAAAAAAATGACGAGGCCGAGCCTGCATTTTGACGTAGGGCCTCCCGCTGAATCCACGAACTCTCCTAAGTCAAAAAATCCGAGTCGTGGATGTTCCCGCGGGTCGTCCAAAAAAAAAAAAACGACCGATTTTTGGCGAACCCGACCGATTAAAGGTAAAAAGGAAATGTCACGGCAAAAAAACAAAACGGGGGTCTCTGGGTGGGTCTCCTTGGGGTCTGTGGGGGTCTTCTTGGGGGGGGGGGGGTCTCGGTACGGGTGGTTCTTACGCTCCCCCGAAAATACTGGGGAGGGCTTTCGTTTTCGGATAAGGGTTAAGGAGGAATTTCCGGGGTTGCCTCCATAGCTTTACGCCGGAGGGAGGAGGGAGGCAGCGGGACCAAGCAGGATTAAGCCGGATTAGGCGGGATCAAGCGGGATTGAGCCGGAGTAAGCGGGATCAAGCTGGATTAAGCCAGGTTTCGGACCAGGGCGAAAATAGAATTTGACCTCCCAGGAATTGCATCCGAAGTCAGGGGATGCGTACCGCTTTCGGTGTGCGGTGACCTTCAGTCTACCCGCATGTATATATATATATATATATATATATGAGTATCGTTTAACCGATCCCCATCCCCAGCGGCGTGGCCTGGGCCCCACTGGCCGATTTACCACCCGAGGTTGGGATACAGGCCATTCCCTTGGGGGTTCGAGGGGTGTATCCCCAACTGGGGGGTAATTTGGTGGGGGTCTCGAAGGGGATGGGGATAGGGATGGGGATCAGTTAAACGTTACCGAATATACGACCTGTCTGTCCATCAATCTCCCATGTGTCATCAATAAACGTGTCTTGTCAACCTACCCTGTACTACCTGAGCTACCGTCTAGGCCCGCCTCCATGCCTTCAGCACGTTGGGGCATGTTAGAACGAGTTCCTGTTGTCTGGTAGGGCTTCGTTTGTTTCTAGGGCCGCCACCCCTTGATTCGCGCGCAACTCGGGGGAAGTGAGAGGGGAGAGGCCGTCTCAGAAGGCGGCTGAGCTTCTGAGGGGCCTGCGGCTTTCTGAGAAGCCCTCTGAGGCGTCGGCGAAGGCCAGACAGCTTCTCAGAGGGCTGGAGGCCCTCCGAGCCTCTCTGAGAAGGCCCACCCCCGTCTGCCTCCTGCCCTGGACGCGCCGCCGAAAGATCGCCACACACCCCACCCACGGCGGCACACGACGCCCACAGGCCGTCCCGAAGACAGCTCGACGAGCTCACGGGGAGGCCCCGGAAATCCCCAGCATGCCCCACGATGCCTCCGGCTCGCTCCGCTCCTCCTGCGCGCCTACCCTCCCCTGCCTCCTCATCCTCAGTCTGATCCTCGTCTTCATCCTCTCCCTGTCCCTCCATCCCGTCCTTCCCTCCTCCTCCCTCCCCCCCTCCATACCATGTCGTTCCCCTCCTCCCCCCTCCCCTATCCATCCCGCCTCCATGCTACGTCCCTCCCCCCCCCTCCTCCCTCCCTCCTCTCCACCCCTCCTTCTTCCTCTCCTCCCCTCTTCCTCCTCCTCCTCTCCTCCTCCTCTCCTCCTCCACCTTCCTCCTTCTCACTCATTATTCCTCCGCCTCCTCCCTCTGCCTCCTGCCTCTCCTCCTCTCCTACTCCTCCTTCTCCCGTACTCCTCCCTCGTCCTCCTGTACTCATCTCATCCCCCCCTCCTCCTGAGGATCGACGTCGCGAAAAAAATCAACAACATCCATAATCACGACCTGAGGCCCTGGACCCCATATTCCTTCGTCATTTCTCGAGTCGGATCGATCTGTGAGGGTCCCGAGGCCCGAAACCGGGCGCAAACACCAGGGTCGATAAAATTGAGACGCCAGGATCTGAGGCTTCCCCTCCTCCCTGCCCCTCCTCTTCCCCTCCCGCACGACGACGACGGCGACGACGACGACGGCGACGGCGACGGCGACGGCGACGACGGCGACGGCGGCGGCGACGGCGACGGCGCGGCGGCGGCAGCGGCGACGGCGGCGGCATCGACGACGACCGTGGACGGCCTCGACCTCGCCATCTGCGCCGCGCGCCCTGTACCGGATCCTCGGCAGCGGCCGCCGAAGCCCAGAAGGAGGGGAGGGCATGGGGCGGCCTGCGGGGCAGGACCCGGCCGGCACTGGTGAAGCTTAGCTTGGACGCCCGAAATGGGTACGGAAAGAATGGGTACAATGCCCAACAACAAATGTTGTCCCAAACCAACAGCGGCCGCTGTTGGGCAGGCGGCCCTCTGTCTCGAATGGACACAGGCCGCGGCAGCGTGGACAGCGAATCCTGTTCAAAATGAACAGGAACTGCTGTTGGGCATTGTACCCATTCTTTCCGTACACGTTTCGGGCGTCCAGAATTAGGGCTGCGTGCGGAGAGCCCCCAGGGCAGGCCCGGCTGGCCTCCGCAGGCTCCCCAAGCAGGCCCGGGCGGTCTCAGCACCCCGGCGCCGCCTCCGGCGGCGCCCCCAGGGCGCGGCACGCCCGAGGCTTGGGGTGTCGAGGCCGCCCTGGTCTACCGTCGGGGCGTTGACCCCAGGAACCTTGCATACGGAACGAGGCCCCTTCTGCCCACAGGTTGAACTTCGGCTTCCCATGGGGAACCTCAGGACCCCTGAAGCAAACTGTAAAACAATCAAGGAACACCGAGCCCCTCCCCAACGAAAAAGGGTTCCTTCTTCAGCGCCACGGCTGTACTCGGGCGGCCTGTTGAGGACGGACGGGACTATCTTTAGGTCGGGCATGTCCTCCTACAGGCGGATGTTGGACGAAAAATCAAAACTATTTTAAAACATAAGAATAACAAAATGGTCAAGAATGGTATGAAAAATCCCCCCCAGGCGATTGTTTTACTATTCTTGGATGTTCCCCATGTAAAGGGACAGGCCCGATTTAAGACTATCTGAGGGGGAAAAGCTGTCTGTGCGCGCAGCCCAAGGCCGCACACGGGGGGGGAGACGGGGCGGCCTGCAGGTTCAGAACTGGATCCCTGGCACTCTCTTCTCAAAAAACTCGCCATCGCTCGGACATCCGTTCCCCGTGCATGCTTCGGTTTCGCGCGCGTAGTTCTCCGCAAGATGTGTTCTGACTGTTCTTCATTGTTATTCCAAAGTCCGCCTGCAGGAGGACACGCCCGACCTAAGTCTACTCGCACAAGTATGAAGAAAAAACTCATGTCTTGCCACCGACGGCCCTTGCCGAAAAGATGCGCACGTCCGCACGATGCGAAGCAAAACACGACGCAAGGTTTAGGTCGAGCATGTTCTCCTACAGACGAATATGTGGGAGAACAACAAACACAAACAACAACAACAACAACAACAACAACAACAACAACAACAACAACAACAGCAGCAACAACAACAACAATAACAACCATAACAACAACAAACACAGCAACAACGACGACAACAACAACAATAACAACAACAGTCAGTTTAAGACTGTTCGCCCTTATATGCTCGAGTGCCCAATAACGCCTATTTCCCAAACCCTCGATACCCGCCCTCTTCGTCTTCGATCGAACCCCTTTTGGGGGGTACACTTTTCTTCCCTGCAGGCCGGGACCCGGCGAGCGGCGGGGCGGCCGCGGACCGTCCGCCTGGCCAGCAGCAGCGCTGATCGGCGGGGCGGCCGCGGACCGTCGACCCGACCCCAAGAGGGACGGACAGGGGACCGACCACGACGACGACGACGTCGACGACGACGGCGACGACGACGACGTCGACGATGACGGCGACGAGCGGAAGCGAGAGCGAAAGAGAACGACAGCAGGGCCACAAGGACACGAAGTAGGCCACGAAGGGCAACAGCGGGGAAACGAAGGGAATGCGTTTGGGGCCACGAAGAGCGCGAACGAGCGGGGGCCACGAAGGGCAGATAATGCGAGGCCACAGAAGGCATCGATGGGGCCACTGAGGGTAGCAACTGGGCCACGCAGGACATATGCATGTGGGGCCACCACGGGCGCGAACGAGCGGGGGCCACGACGGGCATACATATATGGGGCCACGAAGGGCAGCGAGGGGGCCACGAAGGGCTGCAACGGGGCCACGAAACAAACCGAGGGGGCCACGAAGGGCTGCAACGGGGCCACGAAGAGCTGCGACGGGGCCACGAAGGGCAGCGAGGGGGCCACGAAGGACTGCAACGGGGCCACGAAGGGCAGCGAGGAGGCCACGAGGGTCTGCAACGGGGCCACGAAGGGCAGCGAGGGGCCACGAAGGGCTGCAACGGGGCCACGAAGGGCAGCGAGGGGGCCACGAAGGGCTGCAACGGGGCCACGAAGGGCAGTGAGATCCCGACTCCTATGTAATCTGTGAGGTATCCCTAAGCGTGAGCGCGACTCCTGGGTGCCTGGGTGTCGGGAGCGCGGCGCTTGAGTAAATTGCAAGCAAGTCTCCAGCGAGAGCGCGACTCCAGAGCGCCGGGAGAATAAATTCTAAGGAAGTCCCAAGCGAGAGCGCGATTCCGGAAGAAAACGCGAGGAAGTCTCGGGCGAGAGCGGGGGGTCCTGGCTAAATTGTGAGGAAATCTCAGGCGGGAGCCGTTGTTGTTGTAAACCAGGGGCCAACGACACAGTTTGACGCTCAAGACTTTCCTTGATTACAAACCGGGTGCGAGCTCTGCTCAAACATCGGTACGCATCGGATCGTCGGGATGTCGGAACATCGTCGGATCGGACCAGCTGAATTCAGTATCGAACCGGGCCGACCAGATCGAAATGGACCCTGGGGGGAAGGGCCGTTAAGGGCTTAACGATTTCTGTTGTCCCTCGGCTCGCGCTACAGGATTGCCACGATATGTTGAAGAAGTGTTTGGATACCTCTGGACTTCCCTCACCCCCGATGTCATCTGCAACTGCATCGCCTTAGGAAGATGTTATTCGGTTTGTCCGGCTTGATGGCCTCGAGTCGATTGCAGAAGAGTCGTCAAGCCCTTTATGCGGGGTGGGGGGCGGGGACCTTCTGGGGCAGCAACGCCCATGCCCCAGAATGAAAGGACAGTTTCCACAACCAGCACTGAGGCGCAGCTGGTGCGGCTCTCTAGTCGCAAGACCTGCGGCGACAACGTCAGTGGAAGGTAGCGCACAGAATTCGATCGCAAACGTCACACTCTAAAGACTAGGATTCTGGGAAAGCTACCTCCTCCTCCTCTTCCTCCTATTCCTCTGGTGTACTACCTCCCCGAGGCCACCAAGCAAGTGCTGACAGTGTACTGGAATGCCGTGGTCAAGAAGCCTCGAGAGGAGGCACCTATGCTGCTGCAGAACCATGTTAGGCTCCTCGGGCTTCGCTCATGCTTGTAAGACAAGATGAAACACGACGCGCGTCAGCAGCACGGACTTCAGTGCATGGTCTCGGTCCAGCAGCAGGCCGTCTGCACTCGCTCGCGACAGCGAGCTCCCTGGAGTCTGCACGCTCCACGATGCCCTCGGCCAGATCATGCTCTTCTACAAGAGAAACCTAGAAGCCTGGCAGCGCCCCTCAGAGTATCTACCAGACCACCCAAACCCAACCCGAAGACCCGAATTTCGGGTTGAGGGGAGTACGGGTTCCGCATGTGGTTTCTCAATGACCCCCGATTCCCCCCCCCCACTGTTATGTTGCTCCCGTCGTATTTAAGGACCACGTCCCAGAAATAATTTCGAGCACCCAGAAAAGTGTCGAAAGAGTGTCGAAACAGTGTCGAAACCGTGTCTCCCAGGGCCCGACGCCGTCGCGTGAAAATCCTCGAGATGCGGTACCCTTTTGGTGCTCGATTTTTTTTTCTGGTGATCGAGGCCACCCAGGGGAGGGGGGGGGGCCAGGAGGGAGTCCTTGTCCTCCTCCTTCTCCTCCCCCTCCTCCTCCTCCTCCTCCTCCTCCTTATCTCCGCCTCCTCCTCCTCCTTCTCCTCCTCCTCCCCCTCATGGTCGTCGTCGATGTCTTTCAGGGTCGGCGGCATCGGCCGCTAGGCCTTCACAATTTATACACACAAGTACCAATGTCCCCCATATGTTCTCATATGTTTTCATATTTTCTTGATCTTCGTCTTCCCCCCCACTTCCCATAGTTTCCAATATGTTCCTGGGGGTCGGCGACTAATTGTGTCTGTGTGTTGTTTCCCCTCCTGATGAGAGGGTGAGAGGCATGGCTGTGAAAGGTCAGCTTAATGATGACGCCCTGAACCGCCTTGAGAATAGAACCGCCGCTTCCATCCTGAAATAGCAAAAGGGAGAACGTTTCTTTCCCGTGTCCTATGTTTCAGGTGCCCCGCTGGAGCTCGGGCCAAGCCTTGAAACCCGTCTCGGGCGAGCTGCTAAGGGTTCAGGCCCTCACCAAGGATCTCCTCCTTGCCTCCGTTGAGTCCCCTTCGCCCTTCCCGTTCCTGGCTCCCTCCCCCCGTCCTCCGAATGTAACAGATCAGTGGACAGCTGACTAGGCCTCAGATCAGTGCAACAGATCAGATCAGATAACAGGATGGCGACCTCATGACTCGGCCGTATTTGCTGAATTGGGGGCTGGTGCTTCTGGAGGGCGGTTTAGGCTTCCCGAAACGACCGTCCTTTTGAAGCCAGAGGTGTCCCCCAGCGAAGCCGCTGGCAGGCGCCAAAAATACACAATACATGATCATGGCCGTTCCGAGGTGGTCAGTCTTGAACCCCACGGTCCCAAGACGTCGAACGATGGTTCGTCAGTCAACTTGTCTCGTCATCATCCTGCCTCTCCTCGTCCTCGACCTCCTCCTCATCATCATCGTAATCACCATCATCAGCATCAGCATCAGCATCCTAATCATCATCAGCAGCATCATCATCATGATCAACAACATCATCATCACCACCACCATCATCATCAGCATCATCAGCATCATCAGCAGTATCAGCATCATCATCATCATCATCATCATCATCATCATCATCATCATCGTCATCATCATCACCATACTCATCATCATCAGCATCATCAGTATCATCAGCATCGCTGTGATCATAGTCCTCGTCATCATCAGCATCATCATCGATATCATCATCATCAGCAGCATCAGTTACATCATAATCAGTCTCATCATCATCATCATCATCATCTTCAGCAGCAGTCTCAGCATCATAATCGTCATCGGCGTCATCAGCATCATCATCATCATCGTCATCATCATTACACTCAGCAGCAGCATCCTCATGAGCATCACCATCCTGATCTTCATCGACAGCAACAGCATCATCACCATCACAATCATCACCATCATCAGAATCAGCAGCAGCAGCAGTATCAGCATCGTCATCAACATAATCCTCATCATCGTCGTACTCAGCATCATCAGCATCATCATGACCATCATCATCACCATCACCATCATCATCAGCAGCATCATTATCTCTGTCATCACCGTCATCACCACCCTCCTCCTCATCAGCGACATCATCATCATCATCATCATCAGCAGCAGCATCAGCATTAGCATCATCATCATCATCAACATCGTCATCAACATTATCTTCATCATCACCATCATTATCAGCAGCTGCATCTTCACCGTCATCATAATCATTACCATCATGATTGTCATCATCAGCATCATCATCAGCATCATCATCGTCATCATCATCGTTGCCATCGTCACCATCATGAGAATCACCACAACCGCCACCCTCATCCTCTGCCTTCTCCTCCTCCTCCTGCTCCTACTCATCATTCGCATCATCAGAATCATCTGCAGCAGCATCATCATTATCATGATTAACACTATCACGATCGTCGTCATTATCAACAGCATCATCATCATTAGCATCATCATCAGCAGCAGGAACGTCATCATCATCATGACTTGCATCACCATAATCAGCAGCAGCATCATCGTTTTCCTCATCACCCCTCCTCCTCCTCCGCCTCCTCCTCCTCCTCCTCCTCCCACAACAGCCGATCACCGCTGGTACCATCGCTCCGGGATCTGTGGGTCCCCCTGTGGAGCTGTGCGTGCGGTGCCTCGGGGCATAAAGTATATGCCCAGGCCTCCAGCCGGGACGGCGGCATCAGGACGTCTGCAGAAGACACACACACACACACGCGCTTTAACCCACGGCCCAGCTTCAGCAACTCCGAGCAGGTAGCCCACGCCATCCTCGCCATCCCCACAAGCCCTGCTCTGCAGGGCTGAAGCGTAAGGACGTCCGCATTGAAACAATACTTTCGCCAGCGGCCCGTCGATTCGGCTGGACCGCTTCAGCAATTCCGAGCAGATGCCCCACATCGTTCATCATCTCCAGAACCCTGTGCCGAAATACTGCGGCACAAGGGCATCTCTATGTTCCGTCGCAATATCTAGTGCCGTTCGCACCACGAGCTAAGGGGAAAAAGACCGCGAAGCAGATGAACAATCCCAATCCAAAGGGGTGACCGTCCGTACCGAATCAACGGCCCAAAAGCACTGTCGCAGCACAACACCAGCTGGGTGGGCCGTCAACTGCCATCATCATCATCATCATCATCATCCTCATCATCATCATCATCATCATCATCATCATCATCATCATCAGCATCATCATCATCATCATCATCATCATCATCATCATCATCATCATCATCATCATCGTCATCATCATCATCGTCGCCGTCGTCATCATCAGCTTCATCGTCATCGTCAGCGTCAGCAGTATCAGCATCAGCATCAGCACCATCATCATCAGCACCAGCACCCTGATGTTCATCATCATCATCAGCAGCACGCGTCGCCAGCATCATCATCATCATCATCATCAGCATCATCATCATCATCAGCATCAGCATCAGCATCATCATCATCATCCTCATCATCATCATCATCAAGATCATCATCATCGACATCAGCATCAGCATCATCATCATCGACATCAGTATCGTCATCATCATCATCATCATCACCATCATCCTCATCGTAAGCAGCATCATCATCATCATCATCATCATCATCATCATCATCCTCATCATCCTCATCATCCTGACAGCATCATCATCGTAATCAGCATCCTCCTCAGCATCAGCATCCTCCTCAGCATCATCATCAGCATCAGCATCATCATCATCATCGTCGTCGTCGCCACCGCCATCATCATCATCATCATCAGCAGCAGCAATATCATCATCGTCATCATCACAATCGTCGTCGTGGTTGTCGTCGTCGTCACCATCACTGTCGCCATGATAGCCATCATCACCATCGTTTTCATGTTCCTTCTCACCACCGTTATCCTCCTTCTCACGCCTGATCTGCCTTACCCTTCCTCCTACTCTAATTACCCTAATCGTTCGCAACATATCCGCCCTCCTCTTCCTCCACCACATTTTTCCTCTGGCTTCTTCTACTTCGCCTCATTCTTTCACTCCTCCTCCTCATCAACATCACCATCTTCGTGCTCCGCCTGATCATCAACATCACCCTTCACTACCATTCACAACCCGACATGATGCACCATTCAAAAGCCACCGCACACCAACCCCGTCATCAACATCACCACCGCAACCACCGCCACCACCACCATTAACATCGTCATCATCAAGATTGTCGCTGTCATCGTCATCGCCATCGCCATCGCCACCGTCATTGTCGTCGTCTTCATCATCATCGCCACCACCACCAGCGACTTCACTCGTCAATCGTCAATCTTCGTCGTCGTCCGCCTCCCGCCCATCTTCCTACCCCGCCGCATCCTCCTCCCTGTTTCGCCTCCTCCTCCTCCTCGCGCCTCCTTCTGATCCTCCCTCCCTCCCTCACTCCCTCCCTGCCTGCGCCTGCGTGTTCTTGGTATTCGCCGCCTTCCTCCTGCCCTGAGCCGCTTCCCGGCAGCTGCGGCTCGCTGGAGCGACGGTCGGTGCAGCGGGCGAACTGACCACACCTCGCCCCCGAAGGGGGGTCTATGGCTGTGGCTGCTAGGGCAGCCGTCTGGGGCCGTCGGGGCGAGCACAAGTCGAGCTCGCATCTGTGGCCAGCCCGAAACAAAAGCAAGCAAACGAACAAACAAAACGACACAGACGCTCCCTTCCCCTCCTCCCCCCTTCGTCCCCCAGCCACGCGAGCTCGCATCTGTGGCCAGCCCGAAACAAAAGCAAGCAAACGAACAAACAGAACGACACAGACGCTCCCTTCCCCTCCTCCCCCCTTCGTCCCCCAGCCACGGACCGGCGCCGCGCCAAGCCCGGCCGCTCCTGCAGGACTTGGAGATGGCCGAGGAGGACGAGCAGGCCGACGGGATGGGGTCCTGCGGCCGCCGGAGCCTCGCCGTCGCTCGGACGTCCGTTCTCTACGCACTCTTCGGTTCCGCGCGTGGTTTTGCCGGCGCGGTGATCGAGGATGCTCCTCGACGGTCCCCGCCGAGGAAGAGTGCACACGTCCGAGCGATGCCGAGGGGCCCGCAGGGGCTCGAACGAAGCTGCCCGGGAGGGCCCGAAGGCCCTGCACAGGGGAGGCAGGCGCGCACTGCAGCACGCAAGGCCCTCTTGCAGGGGCTGGTGCAAATGCGGGGTCGCGCCGGTCAGCGCCGAGCGCGCTGTGTAAACTGCTGTTCGCCCTCCCCAGAGCCACCCGGGTCTTGGGCGTGGCTTAATGGGGGGGTCACAAATGGGGGGGTCAGAAACGGTCCCCTTTCGTGCCCCTTTCGGGCCCCTCCGGAGCCCCAGGGGGCTCGTTTAGGTACCGTTTGGGTACCTTTTCGGACCACCCTCGCCACCCCCCCATTTATGACCCCTCCATTACGCAACGCCCAAGGGTCATGAAAAAAACACATGCCGGGAGGTTTTCCACTATTCTCTTGCTCTGGGGGACCTCACGGGGCCTCGGGGCCGTGCCAAAACGGCCCGGGATGAAAAGCCAGTCCCTGGGAATGGGACGAGGCCTCTGACGGTCGACGTCATGAAGAGATTCTGACGTCGGGGGTCTGGGTCACTGGAGGAGAGGGGCTAGGGGGCGCCAAGATGAGGACGGGAGCCATGTAGGGTTCAGAAGACGCTCCTGGGATCCTGTTGTAATCACCTGGGTGGCCGCAGTTACTCCTCCAGTGGCCACCAGTGGACCCCAGCGGCCCCCCGCAAGCCTAGAGCCGCCTCCTGTGTCTCCTCCAGCGGCCCCCCCGCGGCCTCCAATGGCCTCCAGTGGTCTCGCGTTGCCCCCAGTGGCCTCCAGAGGCGCGAGCAAACGACTGTGAACCACTGGAGGCGCAGGAAAGCCAGGCCAACTGACAATAAGAGGCTCCCATGATCGAATATTCTGAAATAGGGGGGCAACGGGAACGGCTCGAAGTTTACACCGAGTCGACTGGCCGGCCCAGGAGTTTGGTCTAGACGCTCGGCTGCCAAGCCTATGGTGCGCCGGAACGCCTATGCGCCGATTTCCTTCGGCGAGTTCCATGACTCCTTGGCCGACCAGACGACGCGGTGCCTGAATCGAGCCCCTCCGAAGCAAGTGCCAGGCAAAGGGAAGGAACGCCAGGACGAGGATGGGAGAAGTCTGGGGCGATCTCGGAGAAAGGAGGGGGGGAGATCTCCGACGGCATGGCTGGTTAAGTCCCTGGGCGGCGTACTACACCGAAGGGTGCCGAAAAGCTTCTCGAAGAAGAGATCGTGGCCACTCAGGTGTCCCGCGAACGGACCTCCTAGAACTAGCGTCAAGCAACGGCCCCCGACTGGCGCGCATGGGGTGGTTTAGTGTTGATTGGGTTTTTGTAAGATGTCGAGGTTGTCGCCACTTTGGGTTTGTGGCCAAACGAGATGACCAAGGCCTCCAAGATAGCTCCAAGAAAGCCTACGAAGACACCAAGATGCCCCAAGTCGGCCCAAGAGGACCCCGAGATCGCCCAAGAGGCTCCCAAGAGGACCCAAGACTGCTTTAAAGCGCCCCTAGAGGACTGCCCAGAGAGGGCCCCAAGGCGGCCCGTGAAGGCGCCAGACGGGCCCAGAGCTCCCCAAGATTTGCTTAAGAGGCCCCCACGACCCCGCCAAGAGGCCCCCAAGTGTCAATGATGTTGGAGATTGACCAGTCTGTTGTCCTCTGCGCACGCAAGCTCCGCAAAGCCGAGCAATATAGAAACGGTCGTCTGCACGACCAATCAAATTACAGCACGAGAAATCAGGGAAACCCCAATCGGTGACTGGAACACATCTGATAATTTGTTATCGCCGATTGCTCAAAAGGGGATCCCCTGAAACCATTGAAAGAAATGGCCACAGCATCTATCATACTGTCTCTTCTCTCCAACTGCTTATCGACTGCGTTTCTAGCTACACAGATACGGGCAAACACACGCCCATCTTCACGCAGAGTATAACATTTCCAGTCAACACGTTACCCCCCCCCCAAAAAAAAAAAAAAAAAAAAAACGCCACTGTCCATTCAGAACGGGCCAAACGCATCAGTTGTTGTTTGATTTAGCCTCGCAGTAAGAGAAAATCCCCATGAACAAATCTGCCTTGATTCCTGAAGCTGGTAAACGCATCTCGCGAAACATGGCCTGCAAGTCACATACTCGCATACTCTCGAGCCTACGACGTGCATCCGATCGGTCGTCCTCTATCATTGGACGGGGTCTGTCGGTCGTCTGCACTGCAATGCGCGGTGCATACGGGGATGGAACAATCGCAGTCGGCGAAACACAATCCGTTTTGGCCTCTAACACTGATGTAGGATCAGTTGTCCTTTGCAAATACTGACGCGTACAAACACACGAAAACAATCATCGAAAGAATTCCGATCAGAAAACCTACCATAAACGCCCTGGCTGGTGAAAGCACACACCTTGACCAATCGTCGAAAAGTTGAGCCATATCCGTTGAAATCTGGCAAACACCTTGTTCCGACGCGGTTGTCATCACCGCAAATGCTGCTACAAGAGCCGGCACGGAAACTCCAGACGAAAAACTGCTGGTAATCGTCGCTGCGTCCCCGCCGTCGCCGGCGCCAGCGCCGGCGCTGCTGGCCGCCGCCATCGCCGGCGCCGAAGGGGGGGAGGGTTTGACCCCCCCACACCCCCCTGGGAGGGGGGCGGGGGGGGGGGATTCCCCCCCCCCGGGGCTGCCTTTGGTCATCGTTGCTGCGTCCCCGCCGTGGGCGCTGCTGGCGGCCGCCAGCGCCGGCGCCGGCACCGACGGGGGGGGGGAGGGGTTTGAACACCCCCCCCCCCTTTGGGGCGACCGGTTGTTAGTGCGGCACGTTGGGTGTTAGTGCGGCCCGTTGGGTGTTAGTGTGGCCCGTCGCGCGGCTGGATGGGAGTTACTGTGGCCCGCGCTGGCCGTTCAATGGAAAGCCATATGTGAAAGTATCTCATGTAAGATCTGAAGCGATTCGCAACCCTTAAAGGAATGCATTCCCGCGCAGGCAAGAGTGGCCACTGTAACTCCCATCTGGAAGCGACGTAGTAGCAGTAGTAGTAGTAGTAGTAGCAGTAGTAGTAGTAGTAGTAGTAGTAGTTGTAGTTGTAGTTGTAGTAGTAGTAGTAGTAGTAGTAGTAGTAGTAGTAGTAGTAGTAGTAGTAGTTGTAGTAGTAGTTGTAGTAGTAGTAATAATAGTAGTAGTGGTAAGTTGTAGTTGCGTGTAGTAGTTGTAGAGTAGTTGTTATTAGTCGAGAAGCAGAAGCAGTAGTGGAAGTAGTTTAGTAATTAGTATTATTAATGGTAAAAGTAGCAGTAGTAGTGATAGGTAGTAATAGTACTAGTAGTAATAGTAGTTAATCGTAGTAGTCGTAGTAGTAGCTAGTTAGTGTTAGTAGTAGTAGTAGCAGTAGTAGTAGCGTAGTTGGAGTGGTGGTAGTAGTAGTAGTAGTAGTAATAGTGGTCGTACTGGTAGTCGCAGTAGAAGCAGTCGTAGTGGTAGTAGTAGTAGTAGTAGTAGTAGTAGCAGTAGCAGTAGTAGCAGTAGAAGTAGCAGTAGTAGTAGTAGTAGCAGTAGAAGTAGTAGCAGTAGAAGTAGCAGTAGTAGTAGTAGTAGAAGTAGTGGTCGTGGTAGTGGTAGTGGTAGTAGTAGTAGTAGTAGTAGCAGTAGTAGTAGTTGTAGTAGTAATAATAGTAGTAGTAGTACTAGTAGTAGTAGTAGTAGTAGTAGTAGTAATAGTAGTAGTAATAGTAGTAGTAGTAGTAATAGTACCAGCCGCAGTAGTAGCCGTAGAAGTGGTAGCAGAAGTAGTCGTAGTAGTAATAATAGTAGTAGTCGTCGTCGTCGTAGTCCTAGTACTAGTACTAAGCGTAGTAGTTGTAGTCGTCGTAGTAGTAGTAGTATAGTCATAATGATCATAGCAGAAGTAGAAGTAAAAGTAGTAGTAGTACTAGTACTACTACTACTACTACTACTACTACTACTACTACTACTACTACTACTTTTACTACTACTACTACTACTACTACTACTACTACTACTACTACTATCTCTTTACCCTACTAATTTACTACTAAACTACTACTACACTACTACTACTACTACTACTACTACTACTACTACGACTACTACTACTACTACTGCTACTACTACTACTACTACTACTACTACTACTACTACTACTACTACTACTACTAGGAGTGGTAGCACTAATAATAGTAGCTAGTAGCTAATAGGTAGTAGATGGTAGCTATACTAGTACTCGTACTCGTAGGAGTCGTCGTCGTAGTAGTAGGGAGGGAAAGAGGGAGAAGGAAGGAGGGAGAAGGAGGAAATGGAGAGGGCAAAAGGGAAAGCAATGGAATGGGGAGACGGACGGAGGCGATGGAGTGGGGAGGACTTCGGAGGAGTGCCGAGGAGTGCAATGGAATGGGGAGGGACGGAGAGAGGAGAGAGGAGGGAGGAGGGACAGCGAGGGAGGAATGAGGAGGCAGGAGGATTGCCATGAAATGGGGAGGCGGAGGGAGTAGTGCATGGAGTGGGGAGGACTCCAGAGGAGTGGGGAGGAACGCCGAAAAGCAAGATGGAGGAAGTTTCGAGGAGTGGGGAGGGATGCCGAGGAGCACGGTGAAGTGTGGACAGGTACAGAGGAGTGGGGAGGAGTGCGGAGAGGGGGGGGGAGGAATGAAGCGAAGTGCGGAGGAGTGTCGAGGAGGGCGATGGAGTGCGGAGGAATGGGAGGCTCTGGAGGGCTCCTTGGAGGCCTCTGGAGGGCTCCTTGAAGACCTCTGGGGGACGTTTTCGTGGATTTCTAGGCTTAGCTGCCCCGATACGCAACACGCCACACGGAACGTGGCCCAACACGTAAGCTCAAAACGGAGACCTGGCTACAACGAAAAGCGACATGGAGGGAGTTTCGAAAGGCTCTTCGGAAAGCCCAAGAGGCTCTTCGGAGAGCCCACGAGGCTCTTCGGCCGCTCCAACAAGCTCTTCGGCGGCTCGAAGAGGCTCTTCGGAGAGCCCCAAAGGCTCTTCGGAGAGCCCACGAGGCTTTTCCGAGAGGTTCTTCGGTGAAAGGGGGGTGGGAGGAGGCTCTTTGGAGATCCCCCCCCGCCCTTCACATACTCGTTGATTAATACCCTCTGGAAGAACCCTGGCCATACTAACACCCACCGGGCCGCACTAACAACCAACGGGCCACAGTAACACCTTATCTCCCCCTTGGGAGGGGAGGGGGGGGTCGGGAAGGGGGGGTTGGGGGGGAGGGGAGTCCCCCTTGGTTTTGATCGACGGCGCCGATTGTTGGGGGGGGGAACCACCCCCGGTTTGAAACGCACCGCCGAATGTTCCCAAGGCAAGCGCCCGTGAAACGCGTTCTCTCACACATATAGACGTATACACAGCCGTGACAAAAGTTTCTTCAATTTTTTATGATGAAGATCTCTCCCATCCCTCTCAAAATTCCTAACATGACATGACGCTGGGTCATTCGGCGAAGTAGTTTCCGATCCCAGGGACGCTGATAGCTCTGTTGCCCCAAAACGGGATCGGAAACTACTCCGCGCCAAGCCATATAAATTACCGAGCGGGATGCGAGTGCGCGGGGAGTAGGTTTAACAAAACCACTCCGAACTACTCAGCACGAACGCGTCATTCCAAAAGGCAAAATGAAAGAACATTTCGTCACGGCGATGTATTGGCGTATATACATATGCATCTAGATTTACATATATATACACACATATATATATACATATACTCATGCCTATACGTATACCTAAACATACTACGCCGTTACAAAAGTTCGTCATGATTTATGGGAGCGTCAAGATGATGCATGTTTCGTCCGTTACTTTCGCACGAGCGGGCGGGCGAAAACTGACCCCTGTCCCAACCGCGCCAAACTGCCCGCCTTTCCACCCTAGAATCCTAGCGGTCTGATCAAAAATCTGGGATTTATGGATCTGGGTGTTCCTCCAGTTGTGGAATTAATAATTCTAAAACAGGTACGTTAAAACCCGACGTTAAAAAACACACGGTTCTAAAAATCCAACCGGGCGAAAGATTGCCGTGTCAACGCAAGATGATGATAGCTCACTTTATGACGAACATGTGTAACGCTGATAGTGTTATCCACACATACACATACATACACATGTATGTGTATTACAGGTGTTGCATATATACATACATAGATCTGCATATGTACATCTATACAACACGCAGAACACATACATAGACATGGACATTGACATTGGCATGCACGTAGGCATGTACGTATACGTGTACGTAAACATGTACACATGCATTTGTTTCTACATATACATAAACATATACAATTACATCGACATAAACATAAACAAACACGCATCCATCTTCTCATGCATATACGTACACATACGCATACAGATTTACACATACCAATAACTAGACACCTATTCATATAATATACGTGTGCCCAAATATACATAGACATGCCAATGCATGTAAGTATACAGATGCACGCGCATAAACAAATACAGCTGTATATATAGACATACAGATACAGTCACACATAAACACATACGTATACCTGAGCATGCACATGTACAAATACCGATATATGAAAAGTACGTTCTGCATATATACATATACAGATGCGTATGATATAAATAACCTGCAAAAACAGAAAAGATACACACCGTTACCCATACATACACATGATCATGCACAAATACATACAACAACTACACATACAGTTAGACATGCATGCACATATGAATATACATAGACATTTATACATACCAGTACACATAAATATAAGTATGCATATACATCGGTTCATGCAAATACATGTACATATATACACATATACTTACACACCAACATGTACATATATATATATATATGTATATGTATACATATAAACAGACACGTACGTAAGTTGCATATGCAATTACATGCATATATAAGCACATATACAGGTTCATGTATTTATGCATACACATATACGTATACATGTACACGTCCGCACCGCTTCGAAGGAATGGAACTCTGAGGCGACTATTTGTCGCGTGTTCGTCTGCGTCTTGCCGTCTCGCTCGGGACGCCCTCCACAGTTGGACAACCAGACGCACCCTTCACGCAGATCGCGACACCGAGGTACGAAAACCACAGTAGACCTTCAACTTGTTCATGTAAAATCGTAGAAACAGCTGGTTTCATTGAGATTACCGACAGCTATGCGAACGCAATTGGTCGATTCAATTGTGTACAGCGTATTGCTGGGGCATTGTCAACAGAACCTTGGAAGGCACAATGGAACCTAGCACTTGTGAGCAAACCTGGCATCAAAGGCTTGGTGTTGATGTGGTACCAAATAGAAGTATGGAAGTGGGTTCAATCCTGGTGGTCATTCACGCCCTCAGGGCTGCTGTGTAACACTCCCAGAGATCGCAAGCTGTGGCAGTCCCATCGGTTACCACCCATTGTATTTTGTTGTGTGACCCTGGGGGCGCACATGCCACTAGTATATGGTGGGCGACTTGGCATAGATTATGCCACGCACATAAGTTGCGCCATGTGTGCTTATCTATTAAGTCTATGCACATACATCGATCGATCTGGATGCACATGAGCAACACTTTGAAGAAAAACTCATTGCACCACCCATACTTCATTCTATACACTGTACCATATATGTTGCACTCCCACAAATTACATGATTGCCCCACGTAGCTTGAACCACACGGACTGCGACCCCTTACATTGCACCAAGCAAGCTTGACCACATAAAATACAGCCAACGAATTGCACCCCATGGAGCGCGCTTCACTGGTTCGATATCCTACTGATTGGGTCCACGCTGGTAACCACAGGGACATGAGTCTTGTTGTATATATAGACTTTCTTAATACTCCTATTGCAGCCCCATCTCAATCACATCCGTGCTGCTACTTCATCATACTCCCCCTTCTCCCCTTCTCCTCTCCCTGTGCCCCCCCTGCTCTCCTTCTCCCCTCTCGTCCTCCTCTCCCTCCTCCTCCTCCTCCTCCTCCTCCTCATCCTCGTCCTCCCTCCAAAGGGGTCACCGCCGCACGGCTTCCTCCGAGGAGTGCGGTTGCTCCAGCGGCGACGGGTAGATGATGCACTGCTCGAAGCCGGTCTCGAGGGGGAGAGGGGAACGGAGGAGGAGGAAAAGGGGGAAAGGGAAGGGACGGAGGAGCTCGAAGGAGGTCTGATGGGGGTGAACACCGAGGGATAGCAGTCGGCGCTCTGGGAGCCATGGGGGGGGGGAAGAGGAGGAAGTAGCGTCTCCAAGAGCTTCCAGCGTGATCAAATCGCAGAGGGCAAACTAGAGGATGCAAAGAACAGGGCGAGTAGAGACGGGGAGGAGAGAGGGAGTCTTCGGAAACTTCCACTGCGATGCGCAGAGGGAGAGGGCGAAGGAGAAAGGGGAGGGAGTCGAGAGAAGCTACCGGCGCGATGAAGTTGAAAAAAGATACGAGGAAAGAGGGAGAAAAGAAGGAAGGGGGCGGGGGGGGGAGCAAGAAGAAACTAATGTGCAACCGTGCTCCCTTGAGTGTCCAATAACGCGTATTTCCCAAACCCTCGATACCCGCCCTCTTCGTCTTCGATCGAACCCCTTTTGGGGGGTATACCTTTCTTCCCTGCAGACCGGGCCCCGGCAAAGCAACCCCCCCCCCCCCCCCCCCCCCTCCCCCCCCCCCCCCCTCCTAGACCCCCCCCCCCCCCACCCCCCCCCCCCACCCCACCCCCACCCCCCCCCCCCACCCCCCCCCCCCCCCCCTCCCCCCCCCCCGCCCCCCCCCCCCCCCCATCGGTGTCGTGCCCCCCCCCCCCCCCCCCCCCCCCCCCCCCCCCCCCCGCCCCCCCACATCGCGGACCCGTCGGCTTGCCAGCGGCTTAAAGCGCTGATCGGCCCGGGGCGGGCCGCGGACCCGTCGACCCGACCCAAGAGGGGCGCAACAGGGGACCGACGACGACGACTACGACGACGTCGAAGAGGACGGCGACGACGACGACGGCGACGACGAGCGAAAGCGAGAGCGAGAGAGAACGACAGCAGGGCCACGAAGGGCACGAAGTAGGCCACGAAGGGCGACAGCGGGGACACGAAGGGAATGCGCATGGGGCACGAAGAGCGCGAACGAGCGGGGGCCACGAAGTGCAGATAATGCGGGGCCACAGAAGGCAACTATGGGGCCACTGAGGGTAGCAACTGGGCCACGTAGGACAGTGAGGGGGACACAAGTGGCGACAGCGGGGCCACGAAGGGCATGCACATGGGGCCACAACGGGCGCGACTCCTGGGTGCCTGGGTGTCGGGAGCGCGGCGCTTGGGCAAATTGCAAGAAATTCCAACGCAAGGCAATTCTTCAGTAAGTTGCACGCAAGTCTCCAGCGAGAGCGCGACTCCAGAGCGCCAGGAGAGCGATTCCTGAATAAATTGTACGGAAGTCCCAAGCGAGAGCGCGATTCCTGAATATAATGCGGGGAAGTCTCGGGCGGGAGCGGGGTTCCTGGCTAAATTGTAAGGAAGTCTCAGGCGGGAGCCGTTGTTGTTGTAACCTGGGGGCCAGGGGCCCAGTTTGAGCAGGAAGACTTTCCCTGTCAAAAAACATTGTGCGAGCGTCGAGGGGCACACTTTGATTGAGAAAAAAGAGTATGCACCGGTGGGGGGGGATTAACAATAGTTTTCTTTAGAAATGAGAATTCAACAAGAATCCGAATCGCGGAATTCCACTTCAGCCACGCACCCAGGGACAGTGAATGACCGTTCGGTTCAGCCCCCTTCACTCTGACCTGGATGTTTTCAGCACGCGGCCCCCAGAAGTCCTCGGGGGCGGCCAAGTGGGGGAGTCCAAGAGGGGGGCCGCAAGTCATGGCCGGCGGCATGTGCGCGGCCTAGGCAGGGGGGGGGGGGCCAGGGACGTAATGAAAGAAGAAGAGGCGCCCTGAAATCTGGGGAGATACATCATGCCCCCCGCCATGATATCCCCCCCCCGAGTCACCACCCCCCTCTTGGCCTGCCCCTTGCACCAGGGGCCCGCGTTGCATCCCCGGTCCTTCTTGGACGGTCACGGGGCCCGGCGCGGACCCCTGGAGTTAGGTCGGGCATGTCACCCTACAGGCGGAGTTTGGGCTACAAGTTCAAAAAACAGCCAAAAAAATTACGCTACCGAGGAACCCCACATACTTAACTTAAATATTGAGTGTTTGCTTAAGTTTATAATATATGTGCAATTCTGCGTTCTCAGCCCTCGTCGCGAATGTTCCCCTATGTGTCATCCAACGCCATATTGCTTGAACCTCCTCCCTCTTCCTAGCCTTCTATCCTCCGTCGAGGACAGATTCGAGCCAGCCAGCGGCCGCGGTGAGGGACCACCCCCTGCGCACCCCCAGTGGTGTCGAGAAAGTGCCGCGCCTGCTATGCCCTGGACGACCGTCGTGCATAGCGGCCGCGATGAGGGACCACCCCCTGCGCAGCCTCTATGGTGTCGAGAAAGTGCCACGCCTGCTATGCCCTGGACGACCGTCGTGCACAGCGGCCGCGCTGAGGGACCACCCTCTGCGCACCTCCTGTGGTGTCGAGAAAGTGCCACTCCTGCCACGATCTGCGAGCGCGTCACGGATAGAGGCCGCGCCGAGGGACCACCCTCTGCGCACCCCCTGTGGTGTCGAGACAGTGCCACTCCTGCCAAGATCTGCGAGCGTGTCACGGAAAGAGGCCGCGCTGAGGGACCACCCTCTGCACACCCCCTGTGGTGTCGAGCAAGTGCCACTCATGCCACGATCTGCGAGCGTGTCACGGATACAGGCCGCGCTGAGGGACCACCACCCCCTGCGCACCCCCTGTGGTGTCGAGACAGTGTCACTCCTGCCACGATCTGCGAGCGTGTCACGGATAGAGGCCGCGCTGAGGGACCACCCTCTGCGCACCCCCTGTGGTGTCGAGAGTGCCACTCCTGCCACGATCTGCGAGCGTGTCACGGATAGAGGCCGCGCTGAGGGACCACCCTCTGCGCACCCCCTGTGGTGTCGAGAAAGTGCCACTCCTGCCACGATCTGCGAGCGTGTCACGGATAGAGGCCGCGCTGAGGGACCACCCTCTGCGCACCCCCTGTGGCGTCGAGAAAGTGCCACTCCTGCCACGATTGCGAACTAGAGGCCGCGCTGAGGGACCCCCTGTGTGTGCCACGATCTGCGAGCGTGTCACGGATAGAGGCCGCGCTGAGGGACCACCCTCTGCGCACCCCTTGTGGTGTCGAGAAAGTGCCACCTGCCACGATCTGCGAGCGTGTCACGGATAGAGGCCGCGCTGAGGGACCACCCTCTGCGCACCCCCTGTGGTGTCGAGAAAGTGCCACTCCTGCCACGATCTGCGAGCGTGTCACGGATAGAGGCCGCGCTGAGGGACCACCCTCTGCGCACCCCCTGTGGCGTCGAGAAAGTGCCACTCCTGCCACGATCTGCGAGCGTGTCACGGATACAGGCCGCGCTGAGGGACCACCCTCTGCGCACCCCCTGTGGTGTCGAGACAGTGCCACTCCTGCCACGATCTGCGAGCGTGTCACGGATAGAGGCCGCGCTGAGGGACCACCCTCTGCGCACCCCCTGCGGCTTCGAGAAAATGCCACTCCTGCCACGATCTGCGAGCGTGTCACGGATAGAGGCAGCGCTGAGGGACCACCCTCTGCGCACCCCCTGTGGTGTCGAGAAAGTGCCACGCCTGCCACGATCTGCGAGCGTGTCACGGATAGAGGCCGCGCTGAGGGACCACCCTCTGCGCACCCCCACCCCCTGTGGCGTCGAACGAATGCCCTGTGTGGTATGCTGTGCTGTGCTGTGCTGTGCTGTGCTGCTGTGCGGTGAGCTGTGCTGTGCTGTGCCGTGCCGTGCCGTGCTGTGCTGTGCTGTGCTGTGCGAGAAGGAGAAGGGGAGGGGGGAGGTGTGAGACGCGGGTGCGGCGCGGCAGGGAAGAAAACCAGAACCCCACGAAACATGTGGGGAATTATCAAACATGGCCAGCACTAGTCGACAAATGGCCCACAGACTATGTTGTCCTCTTTTTGACTATTCCTCCTGCAGAGGCACGCGCCCGGCTTGACACCAGGGGCCAGCGTTGCATCCCCGGTCCTTCTTTCGGCGGTGGACAAACCTCCCATTCGCAAACCACCCTTGAGTGAAAACGGCCTGGGACCAGAATCGACGGGCCTGGACCCACAAAAATTACGGCCGCGACGCCCTCCCGCGAACCAAAACGGCCAATTCACTAATCGACGGGAGGAGGAGGAGGAGGAGGAGGAGGAGGAGGAGGAGGAGGAGGAAAAAGGAGGAGAAGGTCTATCAATCTCCGATTCTCGGGCGGCCCCGGGGGGCCCGGCGCGCGGGGCCCCGGAGGCCGAGAACAGCCTTAGAGCCCCCGCCGGGAGCTGCTTCGCAGCGCGAGCATGGCCGGAGTGCGCAGGAGGCATCCGCATGGGCTAAGAAGTAGCACCCGACTTAGAAACCTATCCCAAAGCTATTCTACGTCTCGGTTCTAGCATGTTTCGTTCCGTCTTTTAGGTTTTTAGGTCTCCAGTGTGAAAAAATAGTAGCTCTCTGGAAGGGCAGGGACCACCACGGTGCCAGGGCCAGGGCCACCCCGGCCCTGGCATGGTGTGTACGCCCTCCCTGCGGCCAGTGCTTATATCTGTGTCCAGTGCGAGCATGGCTGGAATGCAGTCGGGGCGCTGACCCAAGGAACCCTGAACAAGGAACGAGGCCTTTTTGTCCAGAAGTTGAACTTCGATCTCGCATGGAAAACCTCAGGAAGACCTTAGGCAAACTGCAAAATAATCTAGGAACGCCGAGCCCCTCCCCAACGAAAAGGGTTCCTTCTTCAGCGCCCCGACTGTACGCAGAAGGCATCTACACACCACCACCGTGCCAGGCCAGGGCCACCCTGGCCCTGGCATGGTGTGTACGCCCTCCTTGCGGGCAACACTTATATCTATGTCCAGTGCGTCTTGGACTCTCTTGGAAGGGGCGCCGCAGGGCCGAGGCGCACTGCATGTGGACAGAAGTCTGGCCTTTTGAGGCCAGAGTTTGGTCCATATCTAGTACGCCTCATGTCTCTGGGGAAGAGAGCCCAACACTCCAAGACGCACTGGATGTGGATGTAGACATTGCCCGCACTCCTGGCCTAGGCCAGGAGGGTCTATACAACAACCTAGGGCCCAGGATGGCCCTGGCCTGGCACGGTGGTGGTGTATAGACGCCTTCGTCGGATGCAAAAGGAAGGCTGGAGGGGGTCCTCCTCGAAGCTTCCGGCGCGGCGAAGCCGCAAAAGGCGCGAGCGGAGGGGGGATCGGCGACGACCAGGACATGACCGCACCGCGACCCCAGAGGGGCCCGCGCGGGGGCCTCGCAGTGCTCCTAGGCATTCCCAGACGACACTGGCACGAATCGTCACGCTACTGGGCCCCATCCCCCCCCCGACCCCCTCGGCAACGCCCAGTACGGCCAGGGGGTATGAAGCTGGTCTCCATCTGGTGAGAGGTCATGTCGGGGCCCACGCGCTAAAATAATCACGGCACCGCACGCCTCGCACCTTTTCCCTGCGCTGCCGGGATCTAGTGGAGCGGCCGAAGAAGGAGCCCGCACAAACAGCCGCCATCCTGGCGCAGATGCTTGAGAGGGGCCGACCGCCCCGGCATTTCTGTAGGCCTACCACGACATGCTCTTAGCTGGAACCCACAAAATGTTCTAACAAAACAAAACAAAACAAGGTCCTTAGAACAGAATCCCGATGTGCTAAACCAAGGCAGTCCCAGCCATACATGTTCTAAGAACATGTCGCGCAGACCACGAGAGGCTCTTAGACTTCTGTTGTTACCATCGTATTTAAGGACCACATCCCGGAAATAATTTCGAGCACCCGGAAAGTGTCGACAAGGTGTCGAAGAGTGTCGAAATAGTGTCGGACGAGAGTCTCCCGTACTTTTCTGGTGCTCGAAATTCTTTCTGGTGATAAAGGCAAAAGTAGGTTGGAACATCCTACTCTTAGAATCGTCTTTGGTGGGCCTGTCGGCGAGCCAGGAAGCTTCGCCACTGCTTAAGTGATGCCGCAGCTCGCTTCGCCCGCAAGGCGGGCGCAGACCACGCGCCCCCGCTAACCTTAAGTCGGGCGTGTCCCCCTACAGACCGATTTTGGACGAAAAATGAAAAATATCAAAAAATATCCGAACAATGCTCCAAAATGGTCAAACAATAGTCCCCAGACTATGTATTGACTATTCTTGAATATTCCCCCTGCAGGGGGACAGGCCCGACCTAACCTTGAGCGATGCCGCAGCTCGCTCCGCCCGCCAGGCGGGCGCAGACCACGCGCCCCCGCGAACCCTCGGCGGCAAGGCGAGGGCCTGGGCCGCCCGGCCGACGGGGCCGCCCGCGAGCAGAAGCCGCCGCCGCTCCGCCGCGCGCCCGGCGGCCCCGTCGAGCACGCGAGCGAGCAGCGCATCGCCCCTGGGAGGGGGGGGAGGATAAGAGAGGAGGAGGAGGAGGAGGAGGAGGAGGAGGAGGAGGAGGAGGAGGAGGAGGAGGAGGAGGAGGAGAGGAGGAGAAGGAGGAGAGAGAAGGAGGAGAAAGGAGGAGGAGGAGGAGGAGGAGGAGGAGGAGAAAGGAGGAGGAGGAGGAGGAGGAGGAGAAAGGAGAAGGAGAAAGGAGGAGACGGAGGAGGAGGATGAAGAGGAGGAGGAGGATCGGGTCGGATCGAATCGGCATTCCGCGAAAGAGCTGTCATGCAGCTGCTGCCGCGGGCGTGACATGGCAATCGTGACACGGCAGGGCAAAAGGAGAGAGAGGAGGAGGAGGAGGAGGAGGAGGAGGAGGAGGAGGAGGAAAGGATGAGGAGGAGGGAGGAGGAGGAGGAGGAGGAGAGGAGGAGGAGGGGAGAAAGGAGGAGGAGGAGGAGGAGGAAAGGAGGAGGAGGAGAGAAAGGAGAAGAAAGGAGGAGAGGAGGAGGAGGGGAGAGAAAGAGGAGGAGGAGAGAGGAGGAGCCGGAGGAGGAGGAGGAAGAGGAGGAAGAGGATCGGATCGGATCGGATCGGATCGGCATTCCGCGAAAGAGCTGTCATGCAGCTGCTGCCGGGGGAGTGACATGGCAATCGTGCCACGGCAGGGCAGAAGGAGGGGGAGGAGGAGGGGGAGGAGGAGGAGGAGGAGGAGGAGGAGGAGGAGGAGGAGGAGAAGGAGGAAGAGGAGGAGGAGGACAGGATGAGGAGGACGGGGAGGAGGAGCAGGAGGAGGAGGAGGAGGAGGAGAAGGGATGAGGAGCAGGAGGAGCAGGAGGAGGAGGAGGCAGAGGACGAGGAGGGTAGACCCAACCCAGCATGCACCGCACCCTCGGCACGCCTGCGAGGAGCACCCTGTGGCGCCCTCAAGCGCCCCGTCTGCCGGCCCTTGGCCTCTGCAGTCGCCCCGGCGCCGCACGAACATGACACGTAAAAACGGTGAGCCGCGGTCGCTCGGCGGCGAGCGCGGGGGGGAAGTGAGAGGGGGCGGGCCTCCTCAGAAGTCTCGGAACTACTCCAGCCTTCTGAGAATTCCCTGCATGCGTCTTCCGCGAAGGCACGGGCAACTCCTCGGGAGGCCGGAGGGCTTCTGAGAAGCCCCCCCGCCTTTTGAGAGGGCCTGCTCCTGCTTACTTTCCCCCCTCGCTCGCCGCCGAGCTATGCATGCGCAACTGCGACAAAGAGAACCAAAACAACAGAGATAGAGAGAGAGAGGGAGCGAGCGAACGCGCCGACGCCCCTGCACCCCGTCTCAGCGCTGAGGGCCACCTTCTTGCATTTGGCCAATGCGGGCGCGGGATTTTGAGCGCCCTCATGGGTAGCCCCCCCCGCGCGACCTGCGACAGGCAGCGGGGGGCTGCCGATGGGCGCGGAGCCAATACAAGAAATTAGGCCAGATCTCCGGAAGCTTATGCTTACCAAGTTCCTCTTCGAAAGAAGCGCCTCTTGAGGCCCCAAAAGGCAACGAGGCGAACGTCGAACCTCCTCGACGGCGCGGCGGGCCCTGCAACCAGAATCTCGAAGCGGCCCTAGCCGTGGCTCCGAGAAGCCCCGCCCGGAGGCCCAAGGAGGCCAAAGAAACTCGACAGAGGCTCGAGCGTCGAACGCCCTCGCCAGCGCGGCGCTCTTCCTCCTCCTCCTCCTCCTCCTCCTCCTCCTCCTCCTCCTCCTCCTCCTCCGCCTCCTCCTCCTCGCCCCCCCTCCTCCTCTTCCTCCTCTCCCTCCTCTTCCTCCTCCTCCTCCTCCTCATCCTCCTCCTCCTCCTCGGCCCCGCCCCCCGCGGGGAAGCCTTCCGCACCATCATCTCCAGGTCCCAGGCGCGGCCCTCGGGCTCGTCCACCGCCCTCAGGCTGTACCTCCCCCGAAGCCCGGCGCCGTGCCGTCGAGAGCACCTCCCGAGAATGTCGGCCGCAGGGAGAGGGCCCTAGTGTCTGCTGGCACTGATCCCAATGTTACAGGGGCCGGCTGCTCTCTTTTTGGTGGCTCGGAAAGTGGCACCAGCACTGAGGGGATGCCTGCGCCGGGAAAGTATGATCCTACATTTTGGTGCTAGTGGCAATCTTTCGACAGCCTAAAATTGGGTCGGGCATGTCATCCTACAGGCGGATTTGATAAGAAAAATGAAAACTGTCAAAAAGTACCCAAAAATATTCCAACAAGGATAGGAAAATCGTCCCCTGACTGTTTTTTACTATTTCTGAATTTTCCTTCTGTAGAGGGACATGCCCGACTTAAGCCTAAGAAGCCCGAGTAAGACCACCATCACCGAGGTCGGGATCATCTCCCCTCGGTAGAGGCAACCGTAGATATTGGTGTTGTGCCAACCTCTAGGACTCCGACCCTTACCCCCATGGGCTACTGGAGGCAAGCCTGTGCCCTGTCAGCGTGACCGACGTCAGCCCTTTCATGGCACAGCTGTACTTCGCCCTCCAGGAATCCACACTCGAGGGATGAGCTTCAGGCCGCTTTTTAGCAGCCCCGCTGCGCCCTTCGAGTACAAACAGACGCATACACAGATGCTTTCGCATCTCCCCGCGGACTTCTCGGATCAGCGCTGGGCCCCCCCTTGGCGGCGCCTCCGGCGGCACGCCGATCCAAGAGATCCTCGCGGAACTCCGACGGGAATCGGGGGCGCCCAAGAGAGCGGCTCGCAGATCGTGGCCCGAGGCGCGCGCGCGGCCCAAGGGGAGCCAAGGGACCTGTTGAACTCAATACGATAGGTTCGCGTCGTGCCGACCCCAGCGTTGGTTTTTGACACCGCGGGGATCGTTCAACCTTGAACGATCGGCCGCTGCCGCAACGTCCGACCGTTCAACATCGATCGATTCCGGGTCGCCGGCGGCGTTCAACCTTGAACGCCCGCGCTGGGGTCGCCGCTGGTCGACACGACGCAAACCTACCGTAGGTGGGTGCCGTGAGACTACGGCAAATCATGGCCTCGGCGCTCATATCGAGGGAACGGAAAAAGGGAACGAGGATGGGGGAACAAACACCTCCACGCGCCAGAAAGAGGGTCCACCACCGATCCGAGAAATCCGCGCGGGACCTCCAAATGCCTACTCTCAAAACGACGCCTGCACTCAAAGGTTCTTCATGTTGTAATAAGTTGGACCTGAATGTCGGTCAGGCGGCTGTGTTGTCGCCGTCGCAATCCCGTCGCCACCTCGTCGCCGCCCGTCGCGTGGGCCTGAATGTCGGTCTGGTGGCTACGTTGTCGCCATCGCAACCCCGTCGCCACCGCGTCGCCGCCCGTCACCTGGGCCTGAATGTCGGTCCGGCGGCATGTTGTCGCCGTCGCCGCCCCGTCGCCATTTTGTTGCGGCCTCGCACAATGGCAATACATCAATTCTCGACCCCCTCCCAAGATTATGCGTTCCTTTTTCCCTATTGCAATTTCCATACGAATCTGCCCCACCGTCCATCTGAAATAGGAACTCGTACCATCCCAGCCCAACCGGTATCGCCCCCCACCCGCCATCCTTTGCAAAAACTGTTATGCGCGCGCACTCGCTTATCAGAAGTCATCCGTTGCCAAAAAACCTTAGCACAAGCTGACGAAGTGCACACGAGCCCGTCGTCGCGCGCGCAGGCCGGAATCCTGCAAAAACCGTTTGGTCTCGTAAGGATTAAAAACCGAATGTCCAAAACAACTATAGAAAACCACATGGTTTCGCAACACGGAATTTCACCCCAACCAGAAAAAATGTGCGCGCGTCCTTGCGCACGCTTAGGAAAAAAACTGTAGGTTCTTCAGCACGTTCGGAAAATACTACCAAACGGGTTTCGCGCGCGCACGTCGAAATTTATCCAACGCCGTTGCGCACATGCCGTCGCGAGAACCCTGTTGCAAAAAGCGGAACGAAATGCACGCACGCGCCGTCCCGCGCGCATGCCGAAATCCGTCAAAAACCGTCGGCTTTGTAACGTTGTCAAATCCCAACGCCCCACAAACATATAAAAATGGTGTTCGAAACATCAGTTTTCAAAACAGCGTGCGCTCGTGCTCTTGCGAATCTGTTAGATAACCGCAGGTGCTCCAACATGTTCGTGGAATTCTGCCAAACGGGCCTCCCGCGCCGCATGCCGACATCATGCGCACGCCCTGGTGCGCGTGCAAGGGGGGAACGATCCGTGTCAAAGAATGCCATGCGGGCCAATTTCGCGCGTCGGCCGCGCGCGCGCATCACCGACACGAAGACGCCGTCATCGTCGTCGGCGTGATCAGCATCGGCGCCCGCACTGGCCGCGCTTTCGTCGTTGCCAACATCGTCGCCAACATCGATATCATCGCGTCCACCGTTGTCGACATTGCCATGATACCGCGCACGCCCAAGTCGTCGACTCGCAGTGAAGTGCCCGCTGGGATTTGCCCAGCGGTGAGCGCCATCGCGGCTGCGTCGGCCGCGCCAAACTAGCTGGCCACTGCGCGCGCGCACTTGGGTTGACGCGGCCGCTGAGACGCACCAGCCAACGCCAAGCATGCATCGCAATCGCCACCGCATGGTTTTGCAAACCAAGTTGCGGGTGGATGGGTGGGGTGATCGCAAGAGCATGGGATGTGTCAACTCGCTTGTTAGAAGCAATTGCACAACAGAAATCGAACCGCATCGATTGCACCACGATGAATGCATCAAAAAGATTACGCAGCATGGATCGAAACACATAGATTGCACAACATTGATCGCACCGCGTACACTGCAACACATAATCCCACCAGCCCTTTGGGCGCGAGTGGTTTAGCGAGCTCTCTCTGTTCTCACCCCCCCTTCTCCCCCTTCGGGGAGGGGTTTACCCCTCCCCCTACCCCCTCCCCCTGGACCTGGAGAGGGGGTTTCGCGGGTGGTCAGAGGGTCCTTTTTCTGCCCCTGGGAGGGCTAAAATTCGACACCCCTCACGAGGATTCTGGCCCCGACGGGGGTACTGACAACAATGCTCGCCCCATCTGTGATCGATCGCCCCAAAGATGGCCCCAAGATACCTCCCAGACCCCTCCCAAAGAGCCCCAAGAGGCCCCAAGAGGCCTCCAGGAGGCCCCTAAGATGCCCCCAAGAGGCCCCCAAGAGGCCCCAAGAGGCTCCCCCGAGGCACCCAAGACGCTCCTGGAAGCCCCTGGAGCCGCCAAGAGGCCCCCAAGACGCCCCAAACGGCCTCCAAGAGGCTCCCAAGAGGCCCGAAGAGGCTCCCCCAAGGCACCCAAGACGCTCCTAGAAGCCCCTGGGGCCGCCAAGAGGCCCCGAAGACGCCCCAAAAAGGCCTCCAGGAGGCTCCAAAAGAGGCTCCCAAAAGAATACTACTACTACTACTACTACTACTACTACTACTACTACTACTACTACTTACTACTACTTACTACTACTACTACTACTACTACTACTACTACTACTACTACTACTACTACTACTACTACTACTACTACTACTAACTACTACTATTACTACTACTACTACTACTACTACTACTACTACTACTACTACTACTACTACTACTACTACTACTACTACTACGATACTACTACTACTACTACTACTACTACTACTACTACTACTACTACTACTACCACTACTACGACTACGACTACGACTACTACTACTAACTTACTTTACTACTAACTACTAATACTACTACTACTACTACTACGGGATCTACTACTACTACTACTCTACTACTACTACTACTACTTTACTACTACTACTAGTACTAGTACTACTACTACTACTACTACTACTACTACTACTACTACTACTTCTACTACTACTACTACTACTACTACTACTACTACTATTATTACTACGACTACTACTAGTTCTAGTTCTACTACTACTACTACTACTACTACTACTACTACTACTACTACTACTACTACTACTACTACTACTACTACTACTACTACTACTACTACTCCTACTGCGAGGGGCCCGAGGGGCCCGAACGACTCGCACCAGGACGAGGTGCCCGAACGCCTCACACCACGAGGAGCCCGAACGACTCACACAAGGACGAGGGGCCCGAACGACTCACACCACGAAGAGCCCGAACGACTCACACCAGGAGGAGGGGCCCGAACGACTCACACCAGGACGAGGCGCCCGAACGACTCACACCACGAGGAGCCCGAACGACTCACACCAGGACGAGGGCCCCGAACGCCCCGAACGACTCACACCAGGAGGAGGGGCCCGAACGACTCACACCAGGACGAGGGGCCCGAACAACTCACACCACGAGAGAGCCCGAACGACTCACACCACGAAGAGCCCGAACGACTCACACCAGGAAGGAAGGGCCCGAACGACTCACACCAGGACGAGAGGCCCGAACGACTCGAACCACGAGAAGCCCGAACGGCTCACACCAGGACGAGGGGCCCGAACGACTCACACCACGAGGAGCCCGAACGACTCACACCAGGAAGAGGGGCCCGAAGGACTCACACAAGGCCGAACGACTCACACCACGAGGGGCCCCAACGACTCCCACCAGTCGTCGTCGTCGTCGTCGTCGTCGTCGTCGCCGTCGCCGCCGCCTTCGTCGTCGTCGTCGTCGACGTCGTCGTCGTCGTCGCGGTTGTGGTCGTCGTCGTCGTTGCGGTCGATATCGTCGTCGTCGTCGGGTGCGTCGTCGTTGTTAGGATCATCGCTGTGGTCGTCGTCTCCGCTAAATCCCTCTTGCCTCCCACCGCTTTCTCTCCCTCCTCCTCCGCCTCGTCCTTCTCCCGCTCCCACCACAAGGAGGATGTACAAGGAGGCGGGAGGAAGGAGGAACAGGGGAGATATGCGGGGGCAAGCGGACACACGCCTGAAAAACACGACTGTCGGCATGCTTCGCAAGAGTTGCTGTTTTGAGATGGGCTGGTGGGGATACGCGAAGCGTGAAGAATTCTCAAAGCGCACCGCGTAGACTGAACAGCATCACTTGCATCACTGTGTTATCTGTTATTGACCTATCGCGAACGCAGGCTCGAAAGCGCTCAAGCTATTGGTTGCGGAACCTCGCGCCCGGCTCATCTGGCACAAATAGCCAGGCACGCATCTACGTGGACGCCACTCTCGCAAGCGACCACCGGCATTTTGGCTCCAGTCGCCCCCCGCAGCAGCCGTCCCCCGCCGCAGCCGTTCTCTGCAGCCACCTGCCACCTCAGCGGCCCGCCCCCCTAGGAACTCTCGCCTCACACCGATTCGGCCCCTCACGGGAGTAGCGCCGACCCGGCGGGCCGCCATCGCCATCCAGCAACACGTGGAGGGCGATCTTACCAGGTCGCGCTCGCCCACGCCCTCCCAGAACACCTAAGCGAAGGCGGCGTCCAAGACGTTCATCACCTCTTCCTCGACTCCCACCCCGGGGCCCGCGCGACCGTGCACCGCTTGCCAACAGCCACGGCGGCATGGGCAGCGGCATGCCTTGGCGGCTTCGGAAGCGGCCGGGCTCGCTGCACAGGGTTCGCGTCGGCCCCCTCGTCGCTCACTTCGCTCACCCCCTCGTCGCCGTCAGCGGCAGACGCCGCCGCCTCAGGCAGCCGCGCGAGCGCGAGGCCCGCGCGCCTGCCACCAGCAGCCGCGCTGGCGCTGAGAGCGGTCGCCTCCGTGTCGCCATCGGCGATCAGCATCGGCGCCGTGATCGGCCTTGCCATTGTAATCGTCACCATAGTCATAGCACCTATGCAATCATCATCATGTCGCCATGATGCCGCGCCCGCCAAAGTCACCGATTCGCACTGAAGTGCCCGCGCGTCAGCGCGGTGTGTGAGACGCGCTCGGAAGTCCCCAGCAGCGCCACCGCGCCGCGTCGGTCGCGCCAGACTAACTGGCCGCTCTGCGCGCGAGCCTGTGCGCACCAGCGCGGCCGCAGGGTATCCGCCAGCCAGCGCCAGGCAGGCATCACAATGGACGCCTTATGGTTTTGTTAACCAAATTTGGGGTCGGTGGGTGGGATGATTGCGCGAGCAGTGGGTTGACAACTCACAAATAAGCATTCTGGTGAATTGCATCATAGAGGTTGCAACGCAGATCTATATCTGTATACAGATACATAGACTGCACGTCAACGTTTACTAGAAACACACTATTTGCGGTCGAGGCTGGCTAACATGTTTTCACGTATGTGTTCGGTGTTCGTTGGCGGGGGGGCAATAAACGTGGGTCGGTGTTCGTTGGCGGGGGGGCAATAAACGTGGGGTGAAGAAACGTGCACCTTTCGTGCACCTTTTGAGCCCGCGGCGGCAGCTCAGGGGCCGTTAGGGACCGTGTAAGGCCAAATTCCTGCAACACTCGATCCCCCTACGCTTATTGCCCCCCTGCGTGGGGAAACGTACAAATGCCGATACCGCTGCTCCCTGGACCTCTCCCTGGGTACGTTCCGGCCGGAATCTCGGGACGAACCCGGCCGTGGCCACGAGGGCCTCCTGAAAGACTCAAAATAAAAGAAAACGAGGCAAGGGTAGCAGTAGCGGCACAGAGGAGGAGGAGGAGGAGGAGGAGGAGGAGGAGGAGGAGGAGGAGGGACGAGGAGGCGGAGGAGGAGGAGGAGGAGGAGGAGAGGAGGAGGGGGGAGGAGGAGGAAGTGGGGGAGGAGAAGGAGTAGGAGGTCCTCTTCTGACCGTTGCCGTCCGTCCGTCGGCCTTCGAACGGAAGGGGTAGACTGGGGAGACTTGGCCGCGGCAGCGCCCGCACCGCCCCTGGGGCTCGCCACGTGTGCTGGTCCCCGCCGGAAACCGCCACCTGCCGGGTCCAGGCGGAGAGGAGGAGGCGCATGAAGAGGCGGAGGCGGCGCGGGGTAGCCCGGAAATCCGGGAAGGAAAGAGGAAGAGGAGGAGGAGGCGGAGAAGGAGGAGAAGGTTTACGACGACGAAGAAGAGGAAGAGGAAGAGGAAGAGGAAGAGGAAGAGGAGGAAACGAAGGGGGAGGAGGAGGCGGATGCGGGAGGAGGGAGGAGGGAGGAGAGAGGGAGGAGGAGGGGGCGGAGGAAGGGAGAGGGAGTAGGAGGGAGGAGGGAGGAGGGAGAGGAAGGAGGAAAGTGATAGGTGGTAGGAGGCCGTCGGAACGCAAGGGAAAATCGAAATGATACAACGGATTATCGACTATGTTACAAAACAGGCCTGGGCTCGGGCTGAAGCGAGAGGGCGAGGAGGGAAGAGACAGAAGGGAGCGCGAGCAGGAAGAGACCGACGACCGACGACCGACAACGGACGACCGAGGCGCCGACGACTACGACGACGACGACGACGACGACGACGACGACAACCGACGACGACGACGACGACGACGACGACGACGACGACGACGACGACGACCGACGACGACGACGACGACGACGGAGAGAGCACGTTTCACGGGCGCTTGCCTTGGGAATATTCGGCGGCGCGTTTCGAACCTGGGGGTGGGCCCCCCCCCAACACTTGGCGCCGTCGATCAAAACCAGGGGGACTCCCCTCCCACCTAACCCCCCCCCCCTCCCCAAACCCCCCCCCCTCCTGAGGTGGGGGGGTTCAAACCACCCCCCGCCTGGCGCCAGCGCCAGCGCTGGCGGCGGCCAGCAGCGCCGACGGCAGACGCAGCGACGATGACCAGAGAGGGCCCAAGGGGGGGGGGTCCAAACCACCCCCTCGGCGCTGGC